CAAACACAGTGGTTTGGAAGGATTGGCTAGAGATGGACCCAAAGTCTGTATTTCAGCCTTCCAGGAAGGAACCAATGAAAGTTCTTCAACAAGGGAATGACACAGTCTGGCCCAGGCTTTAGGAATATTAATTTGTGGAGGCGGCATTAGATCAGGCTATTTTAACATTAATATTTTAATAGTCCTGATGAGAGGTGAGAGGACCAGGTGAGTAGAAGACAGACAGACACAGGAGATGCAGTGGTTCTCACAATCCCTGCCCTCCCTCAAGGAGCTTCCACTCTACCAGGCTGGCAGCTGATTAGATATAGGGGGTGAGGGCAAGGTAAGATCCAAGGATTATTCTAAAGGTGAGAAGCTAGATGAATGGAAGCATAGAGAGGTCTCAAAATAGAGCAATTTGGGGGCAGCTAGGTGGTGCAGTGGACACAGCACCAGCCCTGGAGTCAGGAGGACCTGAGTTCAAATCTGGCCTCAGACACATAACGCTTACCAGCTGTGTGACCCTGGGCAAGTCACTTAACCCCCATTGCCTAACCAAAAAACAAACAAACAAAAAAGTAAGAGCAATCTGGAGGAGGGATGGGTTTGGGGGGAAAGACTGTTTTGCACATGCTGAGTCTTAAAGATACTGGGTCAAGTTACTTAGCCTCCCTGGTCTACAATCTGTGAACTGAGGGGGTAGTGGTGGTAGAACTGATGAGCTCTAAGGTCCCTTTTTAGCTCCAAATCTATGACTGTGAAAATTCAAAACTTGTGAAGATTTTTGTTTTTGGTTAGGCAATGGGGTTAAGTGATTTGCCCAGGGTCACACAGCTAGTAAGTGTTATGTGTCTGAGGCCACATTTGAACTCAGTCCTCCTGAATGCAGGGTCGGTGCTCTATCCACTGTGCCACCGAGCTGCCTCTCTTATAAAGATTCTTACATAGTGAACCTATCATATCCAGTATTTTCCCCGCTATGAAACTGATGACAATAATGTGCTTCTCTCTCTACTAGATATGGAAAGAACTAGTGGAGAGAAAGGGAAGAGGCACCTTGCAGTACTGGAGATCTGCAAACATCTCAACAAAAATGTAACCCAGAGGGGCCATTTTTCTGGGACAATTCTAGAAAATTAAAATGCTTAGTGAATACCTAGAAAAGGAAGTGGTGACCACTCAGAGGTCATGGCTGACTAGCTTCATTTCCTCTTTTTACGGGTTACTAACTTAAGTTTGCCTAGCCCGCAGCAAAGCATTCAGTAAGGCATTTCTTGCTGGCTCCAAAGAGTAGAAAAGCAGTGGTCAATGGCTCAAGGTGACACTGGAATGAAGTCTCCAGTGGCATGCCCCTGGGGTCTGCATTTGGTCTTTGCAAGGCTCTGGCAAAAGGCAGAGAGGGCATAAAAGTCAGACTAATGTAAAAAACCCAAGATGGGAGAGGACCAGATACTGTGGTCTGTTGCCTCAGGAGCTTTTTAATGAACCCCTCTCTTCTCAGAATCATGTCCAGTCATGCTGAAATACAGCCAGTATAAAGTCGAAACAAATTCATGGTCCCAAGATGAGAACCCCACTGTGGTGAGAAATGGCCAGTACATGTAGTCAGGATGCCTTTAAAAGAAGTTAAATCATGGGGCAATGGATAGAGCACCAGCCCTGGAGTCAGGAAGAGCTGAGTTCAAATTTGGCCTCAGGACACTTGACACTTATTAGCTGTGAGACCCTGGGCAAGTCACTTAATCCCATTGCCTAGCCAAAAAAAAAATAAGTTAAATCAGGAAATAAAATTCTGTCTCCTGATCTTTCCAAAATCTACGACAAGGAATGTGCAACAAAACATTTCTTGCCATAATTTGCCCATTGCATAAAATTTAAATTAATCATCCAAGTCTTTATATTGAGTGATGCTCAGATGACCAAGAGCCATGAGTTTTTTGTTCTCTTCTCTGGCCCCTTACTAACGCAGCCTGAGGCGACCTGATGGCTCAGAGAACCTGAACTCACTCACCAGAATCTTCAGTGACAACCAATTTGCACAAGGATGAAACACACCCTGTTTGGCATGTAAAGCCCTTCCTAGACTATGATTCACTTCTCTCACACACGCTATGACTAGCCAAAATGGCCTCCTCCACAGCCTTCATTTCCAGGCTCTGAGGCCTTCCCTCACTCATCTTCATGTCTCTGAGAAGCCCTAGCTCCCTTCACAGCTCTGCTCAAACACCTCTTTCTACATACATGAAGGCTGTCCTCATCTCCCCCCTCCACAACTCAATACATTTCATATAAACTTCTAGGTGCGCATGTTGTCTCCTCTGAACCCAAGTAAGCTTCCAGGACCATCCCTTCTCCTTTGACATCCTCGGCACCCAGCAGACCTGCTAATGTAGACAGGAGACCCGAGAGGTTTTACGGTGGGGGTGACCTGTGGTGTCCACTGAGAAGGGTGGGAGTGGGAAAAGCTGGAGGCTCCCCAGGGCTGGGCAGGGGAAGAAGAACACAGAGAGACCATTTAAGGAGAGACTTACAAAGAAACAATCATCCAGAGAGGCAAACTAGTGTGATGGCATTAAGAATGGAAACAAAGACAGGTGCAAAAGACAATGGAAGAGGAGCAGCCAGGTGGTGTAGTGGATAGATCACTGGCCCTGGGGTCAGGAGGACCTGAGTTCAAATCCAGCCTCAGACACTTGACACTTACGAGCTGTGTGACTCTGGGCAAGTCACTTAACCCCACTGCCTAGCCAAAAAAAAAAGACAATGGAAGAAATAATAGGCTAAGATATGGGAGGGCAAGGGATGAATCACTATTCCAGGGTGACTGGAGAATTGATGGAAAGAGAAATTGGGGCGTAGATATAAATGACAGTTATTGTATGCACAGCACAAATCTGTCAGACAAATCATTTCACCAATTTCTTCCATTCATGGTCCTTTCTAAAATCCTCTGCTCTGCTTCTCCTCATTCCGACAAATTCAGTGGAAGCTCTACTTCCTAATCATTTCTATCAAACCATTGCTCTTTTCCATGATAATCAGAGAAAGCATATATACAACACCACCAAAAAAACCCTGAAGTTTTAAAATGTTAAAAGAGCACACATTGGTATGTGAGATTTACATTCAACATAAGCTTAGATACAGGTTTCTTAACTCCATATAGATGCACTGCATTGACACCACATGGGCAACCAAAAATAGCAGCCACATTCAGAATCAACTTTCCAATAAAACCTCCTCCTTTGTTTGGCGTTCGCTCCTTCAAACCAGACTCTTCCTTCCTGTGGCCAATGTGGAAGAATGGTGGGAAGTGTCAGACCCTAAGGCAGAGGCAACACTGTCCACTGATTATTTTTCTATTGACAACATAAAATATTTAGAAACATTGTTCTTGTGAATATCCACTGGCTACTCAATTCTACTGAGCAAAGCAGCCCAACAGAATTCTCGTCTGTTGGCAACGTCACCCCAAACTCCTCTATTAAATCTGAGAAATATTGGGGCGCCCACCAAGAAAGAGGGTGACCCTCTCCGCCGGGCTTGTTCTGCGGCCTTCAGGATCAAACACAACTCACCCTTCCAGCCTTCTCGACGTCATTTCTTTCCCCGCACTCTCTAATAGGGACAGTTTTCTAGGCCACTGCATTGGCCACCTCAAGCCTCCTTCCTCATCTGTCACTCAAAGAATCCCTTCTCCTTTAAGGTGCAACCGCACGCAACCCAGGCTGGGCGGGGAAGTGAACAGAGTGGTAGGCCTGGTGCTGGAATTGGCTAATCCACCCCCTTCTAATTCACTTTTTTACTTCAATCTCCCATTTGGCATCAATTAAAAAAAAAGTGTCCTTGGCCTAAAACTCTTTCTACGCTCCCAACTTGTGAGAGCATCTCCCCCATCACCCATCTCAAAGGTTCTATAAAGATTTATTTTCACTGTAACTTCAGGGAGTGATCTTTTCCATCTAAGCTTCATATTTCCTCAGTGGCAGATCTCATTACATGAAAAAACAGAAAGATTTTTCCAATGAATCTCAGTTTAGTAATGTGGGGAGAGATGGGGTTCTCACCTACTGTTCTACTTTTTGCAGTTGTGATATTTACATTTCAGAAACCCTAAGCCAAAGTTTATTAAAAAGCTGACTTATTTTGCATACCCTGCCCCTAGCTCTGAGTCAATACCAGACATTCAACAAATAATTTTTTTTTATTTTGAAAGTACTGCTATTTCACAAGCTAGCTTTTTTCATGACAGTATTCACATAAAGACAATATAACTGAAAATCAGCACAACCTTCTATTAAGCCAAGGTCAAGGTTCCTAGCACGTCCTCTCATCCCTAGGGAGTCCAGTCATCCTTTTGGGGAGGTGGCTAATTGATCTACAAATAGAATCTTCTGTGAGTGTGAGAAATACTACCATCTCCACCCACAATAAAAATAGAACGTTCCCTCATCCTTAACTGAGCCCTAGTCTTCTGGGTTGCGCTTCTTTCAAGGAGTTTGGCTAGCTGGGGCATCAGACATGTCTCCATCTCCTTTAGCAGTAGGAGAAGCCAATAACAAAACCTCTATGAAATGATTCTAAAGAACACAGCCCCAGTGGGCAGGGTAGTTAAAGTATAGTGGTTTGGACTCCTCCCCCTCCCCCTTCCCCACCTCCAACCCCTGGGGCTGCTCTGTAGCTGGCCAGTCTTTTGGGGTTTCAGCTCTCCTTGGGCGTGCCTGCCCCCTACTCTAACTTTTTTGGGTATTCTCGAGCCACTGCAATAAGTTTGGGGGCACAAAAGGGGATCGACACTGCCAACCCTGTTTCATACTTAGACATAAGCTGCTTTTTCCCTCAATGGAGCTTAATGGACTTGTTTAAAAAAAAATTAAAAAAAAAACAAAAGCAAAAACCAAAACAAACAAAGAAACAAACAAAAAAACCCACTAAGATTCTCTATCCCTGCCTTAAGGAAAATTTTTGGATACTGAAGTTTCATTAAAGTGATAAAGAGACCAATACTGGTGACTCACCATTATAGGTTATCCTTGGCTTTGTTAAACACATCACGAGATGTAAGTCCATTTCATCTGAAGGTACAAACTTGGAGCACACCGGGCACTTGAAACCTAAAAAGAAAGAAAGGAAAACCGTTTGTCTTTTCACTTTTCTGGATCCTGAATTTGAACCTGATAACTACTGCACAACAGATACAGTATTGATGGTGTCTGTGATGGCCTAGTATAACTGGAGGTAGAAAAAGGGGAACCTTTGACAGGTGGTATTTGAGGTGAGAGAGCCAGGGAAGCTTGGAGATGAGGAAAGAGCATTTTGGGGCAGACCGCTGGTGGGTAGGCCAATGGGACTGCACAGGAAGGAAAAAAGAACCGATCCTGGCAGAAAACCAACTGGTTCTTTGTCTCCTGTGGACACATGGGGTGTGAGGATTACTTGGGATAAGAAATAATGTAGACAGGTTTTCAGTTTGTCAAAGAAGTGGCTGTGCATTTACTGGTATTTCTCTTGGAGGAGCTAAGAATTTCAAGAAGCATTTTCCAGCCCACAACTTTTCCCCCTTCTAACCCTTTTTAAGAAAAAAGAATGCAACACAATATTCAATACAGGAAAAAGGTCTTTTTCCTGATGAAGTTCACTGTTAAAAACGGCATTCCAGATAAAAAGCCTGGAAGGTCTTGGCATCCTTATCAAACTGTAAAACAAATACCACAAAAATGTTTTGGGGGTTTGAAAAAAAAATCCACCACTAAGGAAACTATGAATGACAAAGAATGATGCACTCAGAAACAGAAGTGTTCCAGAATGACCGAAATCTCCATAAGGAGATAAAATACTGCCCTGTGACCTTTCATCTCATTACCTGCCACAGAAAGTTAAGCAATGGATCTAAGACATGGAGATAGTCATGCTCCAAAAGATTCTGAGTGGGTCCTTGTCTGAGTTCAATAGCATTCAAACCCATGATCAAGGACAGACATGGAAAAACAGACTGGTCAAAGGTATGCTAAACATACAGTGTGATAAGCATCAAAAGCTTGTGATCTTAATGCCAAGTCATTTAAAACAAGTGACTGTAGCAAAAGTTGCTATTATTGTAGCAAAAGGAAATATTAAAAGGTTCATTACAATAAACCCAACTATTGTAATAATTATCAATAATTCTCATTGTATCTAATCAAGATATTTAATTAGCTAGGCAGAAACAAAAGGTTTGTAAAACCATTTTAAATTTTAAAATAGTAAATAAATTTACTGTTTTATCAAAGACAATGAAAGCAGATATGTAAAATAGCTCCTGGTCCTCTAAGACCAGACTTTAGATACTACCTGTCCTCATCTAAAAGAACGTAATTTGTTCTAAAAATGCTATTTTTGCTGTTGTTCTAGCATATTTTCAGATATAAAATTTCGCTGGCTGGGCGAAATTTCCAGGATCATGATTTGCTCTCCTCTTTAACAACTTAGGCATAAAACTGCCCTTTTCCCAGTTCCTGGATAACTCACAGATGCTCCAAGTTCAGCAAGGTCTGGCCTACTACACCTTAGCTCCAAGTCCCAGGGATTTCTACCTGGGCTGTCATCAGGGCAGGAACATTTTGCAGTAGTGATCCCACTCTGGCTCCAGAAATCATAATACAGAAACACAAAGTTGGGAAGACGCTCAGAAGCCATCATCTATACCAAAGTGAGTGGCCTACCTTCGCATGCAGGCCGGTACCAAAAGGCAATGACCCAGCTGGAGAACCTAGCCCATTTCCCAGGAGCTATTGGAAAGCTTTCCCTGACATCAGTTCTAACCCTGTGCCTGCTCTGCTCCTCAGGCTGCCCATCCTCTTGGGGTGGGGGTAGGAGGGAGCAGAACTATTGAATCACTTGCTAGCTGGGTATGGTCTATCCCTCAGTGCTTCTCTGGGCCTCAGTTTTCTCATCTACCTGTTTGTTCCCTTCTCTCTGAGTTTTCTCCAAACCTTACCACACTCCCCCCTCCCCACCCCAGATACCCAGTCTCCTCATTAACCTCACTGCTTTCTCTGTAAAGCCCAGGGAGTCATATGGAATGTCAGCCATTTATAGAAGGTAAAATAAGTATTAAATGTAGCACTTAATCAAAACCAAATAAAACTTCACAAAAAAAATGTATACTATCAATATATTTACTGCATCCTCCACTGAATTCTACCTGGACATTTCATGCAGAGCAGAGGGTGATCTTGGGTTCTCAAAACCTCTGCCAGCCCCAAGGGTGTTTAAGGCTTAACGCAATCCCTGCAGGCTCCAGCTGTCCCAGTGAGGCCCTCACCATCTATCTGTGCCTTTACCTCTTTATCAGCTCGCTTCCTTTGGCAGGCACACACATTTTAAAAACAGTTTCAAAGCATATTCTACACTTATTACAAACTCACTTCAAATAAGTTGCTTGCTTATTCATGGTCACCATTACAATACGCTAATACAATAAATCAGATAAATCTGACAAACTCACTCTTCTGCTCAAAAAGCTTCAAGTTGACTCCTTATTGCCTGGAGAATGACCCCACAATGACCCCAAACCTACCTTTTCAATCTTGTTTCATTGGACACCCCTCCCGCTTTCAACTTCCCCTGGTCATAGATAAAAGGGGCTTGCCAGATATTCCCAGATATCTTAGCCTGCCCTCTTCTGCTTCAAAGAACAAACAATAAGGGCTGACTACTACGCGTTAGGCACTAAACTAGGTACTGATGGAGAGTCTTAGACAACATACTCTACTTCCAAGGAACTTATTTATATTCAATCACATATAATAAGTAAATAAGTATTTGTTCAGCCATTTCAGTTGTCTGACTGTGACCCTCTTTGGGGTTTTCTTGGCAAAAGTACTGGAGTGGTTTGCACTTCCTTCTCCAGCTCATTTTACAGATGAGGAAATTGAGGCAAGCAAGGCTAAGTGACTTGCCCAGAATCACACAGCTAGGCAGTATTTGAACTCAGGTCTTCCTGACTCCAGGCCCAGCACTCATTCTATCCACTGTGGCTTTAAAATTGAAACAAGAGCTTCTATTTGATCCTAGAAATTTAATGAAGAGTAGATTTGGGGGAAGAAAAGCTGCCTGGAGAAGAGGAAGCTCGAGTAGGGAAGAAATACCTAAGGCCAAAAGCCAGTCCCCAGTGGAGAGTGGCCCGAGGATATGGAGGACAGAGGATTCTCAGAACTTCCATCTACTGACAACCCTAGGAAAGGGTACTCCAGACCACTAAGAGGAAAACGGATCAAAACCACCCTGGTCTTACCTCACTCACCAGACTGACAATTCAGTCACCACCTCAAACATCAAACAAGAAGTTATTAGGTGCCTATTATTGCCAATGTAAGAAACAAAAGATATAAATGTACGTTCTTCTAAAGAAAAAACTCCCTTATCAGTCAATAAATATTTATTGAGAGCCTTCTACGTGCCAGGAACTGAGCTAGGGAATGGGGAGACCAAGACGCAAAGGACAGTCCCAGCTACTCTGTCCTCTCCTCCTACAAACAGTAAAAAGCTGTGCCTATCTGAAGAGAGGGAAGTCAATAAACATCCAGCATCTACTATGTGCTAAGTGCTGGGGATATAAAAAGGAGGAACAGACAGCCCCTGCCCTTGAGGAGCTCACAAGTCTAATAGGGGTGAAACACAAAGGGAACATATGTGTACGAACAGGCCACAGACTGTATAAAAAGAAGAAAGGCACACAGAATCATGACCGAAAGAAAGTTTCCTGCAGAAGACGGGATGCAAGTGGAGACTTTGGCTGGGGGATATCCTCCCTGACCGGGATGAGAGCCTGCCCAGGTCTAGGTCAGGCGCCATCACACCAAGAGCCAGGCACTGTGCAGATCACTTCCTTCTCCTCCTATTTCCTCCCTTCAGGGATACCTGCTTTTCCCTCAGTGTTTACAGTTCTTCATCTGCCATGATCATATTCCACCTTGGACCAGACTTGTTTACAAACCAACTCACCATTTTCTACCGCCTACCCTGGCATCCTTTGTCCCTAGCATAGCACCCTGCACAAGAGGCAATACATGCTGTGTTTTTGTTTAACAGAATTGGGATTTACACGGAAGACTGCCATTATAATGTTTAAACAGATGTTGTGCCAGTCAATCACCTGCACAGGAGCTGAACTGTTGCACCAAGAGAGGTTCAGGCTGGGGGAGGGGTGGTGGTGGTAGTCAAAAAGACCTCAATGAATTGTCATCCTGCCTCAGACAAGTCACTCTGCCTCTGAGCCTCAAGTGAATAAGGGAAGTTCTAAGCCAATGGCAGCCAGGAGAGGAGAGAAAGGGCCCCTCTCCTCCCCAATCACAGGTCCCAGGCCACCTTCCCCCACTCCCCAGAAGGTCTTAATTCCAAGCTTGGGATAGGATGAACTCCTTTCCCAACTGAGCCCAGGCCTCACAAACGCCAGCTTGCAAAGGAGAAGTTTATCCTTCTGTCATCTAATACAAGCACTACTGAGTATTTCAGCTCCAGAGGTCCGGTCTTCTCTGGCTATCCAGTCCTTCTTTAGTCCTTCCTGCACTCATCATTTCATAATCCAAAACTACTCAACCCTGGTCAGAAGCCCATTCCTTCAAATCCTTTAACAATTGAGGCTAAGTAAGTGACCCCAATAGGGTAAGCTGTAAACAGGCATCTTCCCTGGGAATATCCTTGGAGGTCATTGACAAAAAGATCCTCTATACATATGCCAAAACACAGCAGCACTATTTGAGATAGCAAAAAAATTAAACAAATTACCCTACTTAATAATCGGGGAACAACTAAAAAACTGCAGTATGTTGATGAAATAGAATATTATTGTGCCATAAGAAATATTGTTTTTTGCTTTTTGGTGAGGCAATCGGGGTTAAGTGACTTGCCCAGGGTCACACAGCCAGTAAGTGTCATGTGTCTAAGACTGGATTTGAACTCACGTCCTTCTGACTCCAAGGCCAGAACTCTATCCACTGCGCCACCTAGCTGCCCCTAGAAACAATGTTCGACTAACATGAAAATGTTTAATAGGAATGTATATGTAGAGCCTATATCAGATTGCATGCCATCTTAGCAACGGAGGAGGGAAAGGAGGGGGAGAAAATTTAAA